TCAATATCATGGCTGGGAGTTGATATCATCTGAGCCTCTTTACTCCATCTGTTTATGCTACACATTTCCAGCATAAATTTGTGGACTACTGGAAATGTAACAAAAAATCTTAGTTTCAAATAAAAAGCCCTGACAATATACATTAGAGCCCTATTAGCCTGAACTTCAAAAAATTCTGTCTTGAATAAAAGGCAATTCTTCATAGATAAATGACCCCATTTCATTAGTCATTTACTATCGGCTAACTCAAACTTGTTAAACTTGAACTCCCCATATATTCAAACTTATTCTACTTTCTCTTAGCTTGAATTTGGGAGTTTGAGTGGGAGGGGTTCGCCTGTACTTTACAGTGAACTTATGGTATCACTGTGGGGCCCAAAATCAGTCTTCTCAGCTTACTCTCATTGTAGCATTCTCCTTTCTTGACAAACAAAATACATGTATCTTGATTAACAGAACTGAATGTCATTCATATGTCTCTAACATGATGCAACTAAATTAACACATCTCCTCTAATTTCTCGACTGAAAATCATAAGAATTTTGCCAAGATTACAAAAATACCCGCATGCTCTCTGTAATGGGAGGAATGAAATGGAAATTCAGGCTGGGATTTACATCAAGGGGGGCTTATGTGTGAATAAACTAGAGTACTCTTTGTTTGCTCATAGATGGGACTTGGACAGGTGTCAATATTCTGAATTAAACTCACTTTTCTACAGGTCTAAAATACGGGTGAGAGGTGAATGATATATATTAATGACTTAAATGACTTAAATGACTTAAATGACTTAAAGGATATATATAAATAACTTAAATGATATAGATAATGTAACTGTGAATAACAGAATAAATTACTACTGGTTGTTGAGGTTATTAGGATTTTCTTGTTCACCCAAAAGTGATGGGAAATATAATTCAAGTTGTAGCAAAAGGGACTACACTTCCTGAAATAGTTTCCTAAAACCTTGCAGCTTACTTTAACAGGCTTGCCAAAACCATCAGAAACTCAAGTTCTAAGCAAGCCCTTCCTCACACCCTCATTATTGACCTGTTCCTTGTTTCACTGAAACTGGCAAAGATGGAATAATTTATCTACTAAATGGATTCATGGCTAAACTGCTTCGCAGATATCACTTCCCTTTCGAGTTACTCACATTTCTCTAATTATTAGATAATTTGGTTTTACCAACTAAGTTTATAATAC